TATGTAAATGTCAGTAAATTTCCAAGTTATGCGAACATGTAAGCAAAGCATAAATTACAGCTACGTTGACGTTACTTTCAATCGCGGGGGTAAGCTAAACCGTTAGCAACTAGCTATTGCTAGCCAGATATATTAAATAAACACTTTGTCGTACAATCTAAATGTTATGTTTTTTAGCGTTACCTAGTGATTTCAAAGACAGCTCTCTGGGAAATGTTGACTTACTGTTCGACATGAAGCTAGAAGCTACCTTATAGTACACAGTTCATCCTGAGTCCTGTCAGTTAAAGTGTTTCATAGTTAGCTTAGCTAAGCATCAACCTAGCACTGAAATATATGGATGTTATGTGACAGTATTTCTGAGAAAAAGTCAGCTGAAATGGTGGCATGTCACTGCTTTACGTGTCAACAGCATGTTTGAACGTATTTTCAGCAGTAAATGTGACTGTTTGGCCACTACCGTTGCCATAACAACACCTGAATTTAAATATGCAACCTCTTTTTGTGACAGATTTTTGCATGAAATTATAATTCTTCTGAATGATATTCCTATTGGCAGCTAGTTTATATGTGAACATTATGAGATGGACAGCCAGAGAGAATAAATGAGAAACAGTTATGAAATACTATATGACAAAACAAGAATACAGTTTAAAAGGGGAGTGATTTGTAAAATATAAGAAAAAGAAAATCTGTTTACAGTTCTGTTTCATATGGGTGTTGAGAGATGTATCCATAGATCTCTTAATGTTGCTCTCAAAGTGCACCAGATTTATGCTTTTAACGTCAATATTTTTTTTTAAATGCTAACATGTGCTTATGCTAACATCACAAGACAAAAGTTGGTTCTGTGTTGTGTGTAGTGAGAATGCGCTAGAGTGAGGGGGCCCCCAAGCCAAAGCTCGCTTAGGGCCCCCAAAAGTCTAGGGCCAGCCCTGGCTTGTTTGAAGGTGAGTGGTGATGAACAAATGACTAAGTTGCCAGTGCCTCGAGTTTATAGCTAATTAGCTAAAAGAGAAAAACAAATATAGTTAACTAAGGTAGGCTACTAGCTAATGGATAAGTTAGCTCAAGGTTTAGCTAAGGCAATTTATCATGGGCATACAGGCTAATGTATGTACAGATGAATCGTTTGATCACTCACCTACGGACTGCTCCAGTACCGGCCCCAGCAGCCATGGTTCCGGCTTCACTACCGGCCCCAGTAGCCATGGTCCCGACTCCAGTTTCGGCTCCAGTACTGGCTCTTCGGCCGATGCCAGCTTCCTATGTCCTGTACTTAAGGGGAGACACTAAAGGTGAATACAGTAAAATGTGTATCTAATAACGTCATCACAATCGCCACATTGATATGCAAATTAGGCGTTAACTAGTAGGCTACACTAGAAAGAGTGTACTATCTTATCTCTTATCCTATCTTAATTAAACTGTGCTAATTTGCATGCAGTTAAGGCATTGCAGGTGAAAAGGATAAAACCAAAAACAAACAGAAAAACATAGCACCTCACAACTTCCCCAGATAGTTACTTATGTCAAGTCAGTATTTCCCCTGAAATGTTATGTTTAAAAATGCAGATTAGCTTTGAATCTATAGATGAATTCAGACATGGTAGTAAAACGAACACCATTTATGTGTTTTTTGGAAGTTTTCTTTCCATCAGAGTGAAAGAAATCATGGAGGCAAAATAGACCAAAATAACAAAATGTACAAGAAAAAACTATATTTTTTGCCTGTAATTTCCTTAAACAGTAACTTCATAATTTCTGTTGAGTATTAAACAATTGCGTGAGTGTGAGGGTATTAAAAATAAATTGGTCAGTAAGTCGAGATATGCAACTATATTTAACTTTTTGTTTTAAAAAGTTTTTTAGAAATGATTATGGGAAGTGCCTTTTTCCCCACTTGAGCTACTGCCCCCAAAATGTCTGTGAACGTCCCTGAGGAGGAGTAATCAGGACACGACAGAGTGAAACGGTTTGAGTGAGAATCTAACATTAAAGGAAATAAATGCATCGTGAAAACCTTGTAGTGCGCATGACGCACCTGCGTTTACTGAAGAAAAGTTTGGATGGCTCGTGCAGAAGCGAAACTGCGGAAGAGGCGACAGAGGTGCAGACATGAGTTATTTCTGCGATGAGAGCCGATGAAGGGAGACCCGTCGTTGTTTATTTCACCTTCCTGTGCTGTTTCTGATCATTATTTTAATGCTGTTCAGAGAGGATGAGGGGCTTTTTACTTCGATGTGTTCTTCTATGGGCGATGTTGCAGCGTAGCAAAACGCAAAGTGCTGTACCTGCCACAGGTGAGTTGATAACACACGGGGCAGACTCAAACAGAAGAAGAAACCCGCAGGGACATGGCCGAATTCAACTTTAACAGACCTTTTCACACATATAAATAGATACAATGTTTCTCTTGCGTCTTCGGTGTTAGATTGGGAATGTTTTGTAAGTGGAACCTGGGCTGAAAGTTAAACCTGGAGAAAAAAAAGTATTTTGGACTCTTGTAGAAAGTCACACTTTTTTACACTATGGCTATTTAGACATTAGGCTATAAAATGTGTTTTGTGAGTTAAATTGCATTACGAGACAGTCTGGCTTAAAGCAACTTGAGTTAATGATCATCACTGGCATTTAATATGTCACAACAGGCCAGGATCCTTTCCACTGACAATCTGGTTCAAACAAGTTGACACATGGAAAGTGGTGTCTCAGCGTGTTGTTATGCATTCCATAATAGTTCTTCATTACTTTTGATTCGGGACATGTATTGGGTGTGTCTTTTTTTAATATGGTCCAAGTGTGTGATCTAATCAATATAATTGCCTGTAATCATCAGAATGACTGAGTCACGTTTTTAGGCTTCAATATAAACAGTTTCTGTGTTTTATTTCTCCTTATGAATCACACATTCACATTACATCCGCTTAAATACTGTATTTTAGTAGTTTTTTAAAGTTATTGTAGACTTCTTGAGTATTTAAATATAATGCTTCATTTTGCTTGGTAATGTAATGTACTTTTTACTCCACTACTTTTATCTGACAACTGCAGTCTCTAGTTACTTTGTCAGATAATGATTTAACATTCAAAACACATGATCCAGTGTTACAGAAAAAACTACCCACACATATCAAGTAGTTCACATTTGTTTTAACTTTACCTAACATCAAAACACTATCTATGAACCAATGCATCAGTCTATTCCATTTATATAATATAGGTTAAAACTTGAAGGGGCCATTTTTCTGCATGCATTTCTCTTTTGAATCCTTTGTCACATCGTTCTGATAAATAGTTCTGTACTTTTACTGAAGTAAAAGGCTGTGTTCTGGACACCTCTCCCACCACTGCAGGTGATGTCAGATATTTTTTATAGGTTTAAGCTGGAAAATTAACTGGACTGAAGTTGTGTTATTGACTCAATGGAACAAATGATCTGGGAGTATTAACTGCGACAAGCTATGGAAAATGAAAATGTGTTCAAATTATGACACAACAGTTACTACAGCCAAACTGGAACTTTACCAGTTTAACATTATGTAAGTTCACAGTACGTCCACCAGTCTGCCTTAAAATGCTTTCAGAGGCAGTCCTGCAATTTGTTACTGCACTTCCATAAAGTTGAGAAACCCACAACCTTTAAAAAAGAAGGGTAAAAAAAACTCACAAAGAAACCCTGAATCCTACATTTTGCCAGTGTTGTGGAGTAGTGAAATGCATGTAATTAAACCAATTTAACGACAGATAATGCCTCTGTCCAGCTTCCACTTGCATTCATTTAACCTTTAACATGTGGGTAGTGCCTGCCTGAGCCAAAGGGCGGGCTCGCTCAGTGCTCACACAGCATCTGGGAAAACTTCAGAGTATCAGCTCAAGGAAGAATCACTTTGACCTGGACAATATACACAAAAAAACATTTGTTAGGTATGCAAAGACTAGTACATTTGAACTACTTTTTCTTAGTGACTTAAATAAACCAAACTAGAGTTCCCCTATGGTGGCTTTGCTTCTTTTATTGTCAAATAAGTGGTAGCTAAGCTATGCTTGTAAAGTAGCTTCCCCAACACTGCATTTCCCACAATGCAACTACAACAGTATCTTTCTGTTTACCCTCCCTGTCTGATCAACATTCACGACTTTCAAACTGCATGACCCCAGGTTGTAACAACAGGGTTTTTGTTATGATTTTAGGCCCAAACCCTAATGACATCACTTTGACATCAGTTTTTTTTTTTCTCAGACTCCACCAAGACATTTAACTAGTTTTACTTGCATTTACTCCCTATAACAGGTAAACTTACCTTGCTTTGTGAATTCGATAGACTGCCAATTTAAAACCAGAACGCTTTGGGTGTGTGATTAAACAACAAGATATTAAATGTGTTGATAAGAGAGATTAAAGGTGCTGGTAGGTGTATAATTAGCTTTGGATAGACTCAGGCTAGATGTCTTAATGCTAGATGCCCTTGTTTCCAGTCTATGCTAAGCTAAGCTAAGCTAACTCTTTGTTGAGTTTATGAGTCTCATATTTAATGTAGAGAATTTAGTCGATCTTCCCATTTAATTTCTGCAAGAAAGCAAATCATTGTATCAGTAGTGAATTTTACACTACAGATTTTTTTTAAAGCTGACACCAATCCGTGAAGTGCGGAACTAAAGGCAATTCAAAGTGCTTTGCAAAAATGAAAGACATTAACAGCATTAAGACATAGGGCAGCAGAAACACATCATACAATGGCATTTAAAACAGTCATTAAAAAGCAAAGACAATAAAAAAAAAAAACATGAAACAAGCTAACATGCATACAAAATACATGAATAAAAGTTACAGTTCAGTGTAAGATATAAATAGTTCAATTAAAAGCAGCAACAAAAATAAAAGTCTTCAGCCTGGATTTAAAAGTAGCAGACCTGCTGGTTTCTGGTAGTTTGTTGAAGATATTTGGAGCATAATAACTGAAAGCTGCTTCTCCATGTTTAGTTCTGACTCTGGGGACAGAAAGCAGACCAGTCCCAGAAGACCTGAGAGCATGGACCTAGCAGGATTTTGGCCCTAAACCATTCAATGCTATATGAACCAGCAGCAGTATTTTGAAATCAAATCTTCAGACAGGAAGCCAGTATAAAGACCTCAGACCTGGAGTGATGTGATCCACTTTCTTAGTGTTAGTGAGGACTCGAGCAGCAGACTTGTAAAGACATCGTTACAGTAGTCTAGTCTACTGAAGATAAAAGCATGGACAAGTCTTTCCAAAGCCTTCTGTGACATAAATCCTTTAATCCCATATATATTGTGAAGGCGATAATAGGCTGACTTAGTAAGTGTTTTAAAGTGACTCATTAAATTCAGCTCAGAGTCAATGACTACAGTTATTTCTGGCCTTATCTGTTTTTTTGAACATTGCCAACTGAAGCTCAGTGCTGGCTTTTATTCGTTCCTCCTTGGTTCTAAAAACAATTACCTGCATACCTGGCCTTTTTTGTTAATTTAGCTTCACTTTCACTTTTTATTCAAGAACATCTGCAAAAGGTTTAAAGGCAGCAGAGCAACATACATTTTATGTTTAAAATGTTTTGGATCACCATTAGTTGGGAAAGGCCGTTGATTTTGATCCAACACAGACCAATACGCTCCCATCTGTGTGTTTGATGTCGGCGCAGGTTGATTTCACAGTAAACTTCACAGGAATAATTAACATATTTCCTGTTCATCTGCGCAATGTGGCATATGGCCTTGGCACAGCTTAAAACTAATTAAATGACAGATGACATGTTAAAATCTCTCACACACAAACACATTTTCACATGTATTTTTCCTCTAATGTCTGCAAGAGAGACATTCCTCTACCTCTCAATCAACAACCCTAATCCAACCATCTCCCTTCTCTATCTCTTCCTCTTTCTACTCTTTCTCCATGTATATACAAATATGTATGTGAAAAGAGCTTTCACCTCTCTCCCCTGTATTTTCTCTTCTGTTGTTCCTGTCATTTGCTTTTCAATACGATGTTAGCTGACCTCGCCTCATTTCCCTTTTCTCCCTAATTTCCTCTGTGCCTGTTTATTTTCCAGCCAATTTATTTTCTGCTTCCCTATTAATGTTTAATGATTATGGACTACTGCTTTAAAATAATGGGTGTGTTTTGCAGAGGAGATGTAAAAGGAAAAGATTGTGAATGACATAGAAGAATTGAAGCAATAAAACAGGTGTGTGTGTGTATATACATACACACACACACATATATATATACACATATATATTTACTAGTTAGCATATACTATATATATAATTAGTTATACATATAGTATATATTACTATAGGTTATTATATATACATAGCTATTATATTATATATTATATATACCAGGTATATATATATATATTATATACATAATAGGTTATACATATACATATTTAATTATTATAGATATATAACATTACTGATATGTATGTATATATACATATATGTTATTACATATATACATATAATATATATATATATATACATATATAGTACTATCCTATATCATATATAATACAATATAGGATAGTACGCATATAATATATACATGCATTATATATATATAATACAATTACATATATATACAATAGTATACATATACAGTATAGTATACATATATCATATACATATTACATAGGTATTAATATATATCATACTTATACATATATATATATATATACATTTTACATTATACATATATATTATATACATATTAATACATGTAATATATTACTATAACATTTATTATATATATATATGTTTTATATATATATATGATATAATATATACATATATACATATATACATATATATTATATATATGTATGATATATACTTATTATATGTATATATATATAACATATATACATTTATAACATATATACATACTATATACTTATATAATATGTATATATATAACTGTATATATATATACGTATATTATACATATATATATATATAAGTATATAACATAATATTACATATCATACTATAGATTATCATTAATATGTACGATAGTAATAATAATATATTATATATATATAGATATTTATTTATTTATATAATACATATTTATTATACATTTACATTAATATATATTTATATTATATATACTATATATACATATACAATATATATAGTATACTTATTTACATATAATTAATATACATTATACATCATAATTATAACATTATATACATATCATACCATATACATATATTATATATTAATATATACAATATATTATATACGTATATATATATATATATTAATATATAT